GACCTGGAATTGAACTCAAGACTTTGTGTTTGCAAGGCAGGTTCGGTGCCACTGAGCTAAATCCCCAGCCCCTGGGTCTTTTTTTTGAGACAGGGTTTCAACATGTAGTTCAGGCTGGCCTTGAACTGTGGAGATGCTCCTGCCTCAGTCTCCTGAGTGCTGGGATTACAAGCATGTGCCATCACACCCAGCCTAGTCAGGTGTATTATCCCTTACATGCCTGTCAGACCTAAAGCTGGTGCAGATGCCTCTTCCCTGCCCAGAGGCAGACAGGGCAACTAGGCATCAGGCAGGGATGGGGCCTTTGGCCCTGCTTGGCCCCTGCTTGGCCCCTGCCACACCCCTAGGCCATAGGAAGGGGGTGAGCATACACTGGGTTGGTGGGAGGGGAGAGGATGTGTGCCCTTAGCAAGGCAGAGAGGCACAGGTGTGAGGAATTCTTTTTTTTTTTTTCCCCTCAGTACTAGGGTTGGCATTCAGGACCTTGCACTTATGAAGCAGGCATGGTGCCGTTGAGCTAAATCCCTGGCCCCTAGGTGTGAGGAATTCTTGCCACTTCAACCAGAGAGCCCACCTGGACTCAGGTGGCTTCCCAGGTGCTACGGGCGTGGGAAGGAGCTCCTAGGTCCCCTTGGAACCCAGCTCCCCAGCATCCTGCCTCCCCTGAGGCTTTGCCTCTGCCCTTCTTTCCTTCACCTCTGGTCCTTCTTTCCTCTCTGCCTTTCCTATTCACCCTGGTACTTACCTGGCCAGCACCTCTATAAAGCCTCCCTCAAACTCAGCCTTTTTGACCACCTGGATGGTCCTGTTGTACCCACCCCTCCCGTGTCTGGTGGTCCCCTTGCCCAGCATAGCTGAACTCTCAGCAGGGACACTGGGCTGTCCTGACTCACCAGGCACTGTCCAAACCTGAGCACTGCCCTGGCTCCACCAGCATTTCCTTTTTCCTAGAAATGGGTTTTCCTCCCTGAGCTGAGAGGGGAGGGACAGGGTATGGGTGGCTCCACGTTGCTATCCCTGCACCCCCGGTGGTTATGGCAGATGGGCAGGCCAAGGTGTGGCTCTCCAGATCCAAAAGCATGAGAATCTGCCCTTCAGGCTGCTGCCCACCCCTCCAGGACTGTGCTGGCCTGCTGCTGACTGGAAACTTTCTGAGCTTGTTCCCAATTTGGCTTTGGTAGTTCCCTTCTGACCTGTGCAAGTCCCCTACCCTCACTGGTCTGTGTGCCAGTGTCTCCTCAGGAGGCCACATCGCTTGCTTGCCCGCCAACTTTGGCTGGACTTCATTTGAAATGCCCCAGTGTATCCTCCCCAGGGCCTACAGGGGACACTGAGCCCTGCCCAGGGAGGGGCAGACAGGCTGGTTGGTGATGAAGAGGAGTCTGGGTTGGGAAGGCTCAGCCAACTTAATAGTAAGAGATGGGGGTAAGACAGTCGGCCCTACTGTGCCCCTGCCCCAGATTTTTATTTAGTCCCTCTACCTGCCCAGCAGGCTGTCACAGACAGAGGGGCCAGGTTGTTGGTGGGTACAGGTCTGACCTAAACACCTCAGGCTTCACTTGGGTCAGGAGGATGACCTGAGGCCCCACAGCTGAGACTGGCTAATGAACCACCCAGAGTGGCCTCCATCCCAGTGGCTGGCCACCACCCAACAGTGATGTCCTGTTCTGAAATGCCCATTGTCTGCCAAGACTAAAGGGGGAGGGGAGGGTACACGTTGAGACCCAGCACCAAGAGGCCATAGGATGGGGACACTGTCCTGCCTTCACAGGGGCAGCCACACACCTGTGCACTAGGCCAGAACAGGGGCTTATACATGCTTGCTTGATGCCAAGGCAGCTCCTTTCCCTACTGAGCAGCGCGTTCCAAAATCTTTATGGATGAAGCGGGGTCACCACAGGTCAGATGTCATGGTGTGTCTGCAGATGATGGCTGAGCGAGGTCCCTGCTTTGGAGGGCTGTGCATACACACTATACAGGTTCCTAGCCATCCCACCCCACCACACACCCTTCTTTCTGGAGAGCCGAGTAGAGGGGAGGAGTCATCTACATTTGAATGAGGGATGGATTTCCAGTGGGCCGGACTCTCCCCTTCCTCTGGACCCATCCTCCAGGTTCCTGAGCACAGCCCTGATGTTCACACTGAAAACAGGGGATACCTCCCCTTCACCCGATGTGTGCCTGGAAGTGGGATTGGGTTAATGGTGCATGTGTGTCACCCAGTGCTAGACATTCAGTGAGTGTGTGCCTTGGTGCTGGGAGAGTTGGGATGCCTAGTGTGTGACAGCTATTAATTGCATGTTGCTGTGGGTATGAGCCCAGAGTCCAGGGGGCTGGTTCCTGGCCCAGAGTATCCTGTTCGTTCTGGGGCATAAGCAAGCGTGGGCTGGTCAAGGCTGAATGATTTTGTCTGAGGATCCCAAAATAGTTGCAATAGCCTGAGCTCCCCTCCCCACTGGGCCAGGGCTTCAATGGCTCTTTGTCTCTGGAAGGCATCCCGCCCCAGCAGAGGCCTGGTAGGGTCAGGCTGCCTGTCTGGTTGACCCCCCACCCTGCCCAGAGCCCATTTCCAGTGTTAGTCTGGGCCGGGCCCACACCCCCATGTGAACATCCAGAAGGCTGCCTGTTGGGACCCCTTCAGGGGCAGATCTCAGGATCTCTGCTTAGCGGGGCAAACACCCCAGGCAGTGTCTAGTACCTCCTCATGTCTTCCCTGCCTACCAGCCTTTCCTGAGAGCTCCTACTACCACTCAGACCCACCCTTCCCACAGTTTCCTGGACTTCTGTGGAGCTTACCCAGGACGCCTGGGGCTGCAGGTGGCAGCAATGCACAGCAGTGTGTGGGTGTGTGGCCTGCTGGGCATTGCCTGGGCTTGGTCCCTGGCACTTTATCCAGCAGTCAGAAGCAAATGGAAAAATGTGCATGAGCTGCACTGGGCACCACATACCAGGTCCTTCCTCTCTCCACTTTTAAACTGACCTCCGCCCTGAGAGATAAAAACTCAGACCATGCCCTGGGTACCGCATGCCAGGACATTATCAGTGTGCCACAGGCAGTGCCAAGGTCCTTAGGGGTTGGTTGAGGGACAGGGGCTCCCTGAGGAGAGGGTGAAGTCAGCCTGGGCCAAGGTCTCCAAGTGGCTGGTGGGGGGGTGTTCAAAATCAGTTTGAATTTTCCTGCAAGGTTTCATTAAAACAGTGGGTTTTGGGGGCACAAGAGGTGGAAAGATCCCTAACAGTAATGTGAGCCCACATTGGGGATTTCTACTCTTGGCCTGTGCTGGGAGAGGGCTGACTCCCATATGGGAGTGGAATGTCTTGCCTGGCTTTCCTGACTGAGGTGGAATTGCTGAGGTTTAGGGGCAGCTTAGCTGAGGAGTTGCCTGGGCAGGGTGGGGGCAGCCTGTGGGATGGAAGAACCTTGGGAGAGTTAGCTGGAGGCCATGGGGGGTGTTTTTGGCCAGTGTGTAGGGTCCTGGAACCCCACAGACTTAGCTAGTGATTCCGGGGCAGGGATATGGTCATTCTTCCTTCCTAAAATGGGCTGAGAGGAGCCCAGAGAGTAAGTGTGGGATGAGATGAATGTACCTGATGGGGCTATGAACGTGACTTCAGCTGGGGTAAGGACTCTGCGGGCTGTTTGGAGGAGTCCTAGAAGGGTTTGGCTTCACCTAGAGAAGAGAACCCATGTATAGAGAGAATAATATGTCATTCCTGGGTAGGAGAGGCACGGAGCAGGGTGTGAGCAGGGCCAGTGGGAGGTGTGGTAGTGGCACTGAGGTCTCTGAAGAACGACAGGTGAGCCAGGTGTGGTGGCACAATCCTTTGATCTCTGCACTCTGAGAGGCTGAGGCAGGAGGATCACAAGGTCCAGCCCAGCCTGTGCAACTTAGTGATTTTGTTAGACCCTGTCTCAAATTAAACAGATTGGGGATTGAGGATGTAGGTTAGTGTGAAAGCCCTAGGGTCAAACATCAGCACAGGGTGAGAGGGGCACAAAGAAAAGGATTGCAGGTGATAGAGAAGGTGGGGAGTTGGAGATGTTGGATGTAGAGATGACCACGTGGGAAACCCCAGCCTCTGAGGTCGTGACTGTTGCGGATAGTGGAGGTGTAACAGAATCCCGAAGGTTGCATGGAGCTGGATCTGGGCAGAGTCTAGGCAAAGGCTTGCGAGGGTGCCCTGGCTGGACGCTGGACGGCAGGGGCGGCAGGACTCTGAGTTCCTAGGGTGGCCTCTGGGGGGCGCGCCAGGCCCAAGGCTTGCGAAGGGAGTTCCGGCGGATATTTGCGTATGGCTTATTTGCATGCGACGCATTTGCATGTTTGCTCTCCACTGGAAGGCAGTAGAGGGTGCACGGGTTGTTTCGAGTATTGGCGAAAGTGGGTGAGATTTCTAAACCCATCACCTTCCTTCCACTCGGCATCTGGGGTCCTCGCACCCCACCTGGGCGCCCCAGATGCCAGGGTGGAGCCAGCAGCAGCAGCAATACTGTCAGACACACACGATGACAAGTGCAGACCCCAAAACCCGGTCCTTCATGCAAGCCGGAGCCCCTGTGGTGACCCAGAAGCTCAGCCCTGCCCAGTCCCAACCCAGCTGGAGGATGAGTCGAGGACCCTGGCCCACTGGCGGCCCTGCCACCACCCAGTACCTGCAGCCCTCCAGCCCAGCATGGCTCTAGACCCAGACCCCAACACCTACGACCAGCCTCTCGCCCCTCCCAGCGCTGTCCCTTTTGTGTCTCTCGGTCCTCGGCCTGGCCTCACCCTCTCCCGCCCATCCTTTGCGCTCAGATCTCGACTCCCAGCGGGCGCCGGGGTCCCCGAGGCGCCTTCCTTTGTCTGTGCTCCTTGCCCTGCCTCCGAGCCCCAGGCCCTCACTCACCGCTGTCCTGGGAGGGCGAGGGAGCTGCTGCGGGGCGGATGCCTCCGCAGCCGCTCTTTCTTCTCTGCGCGCTGCACCTTCCGCGCTCTACCGCGCTCCCGTTTGCCAGGCGCGCGCCTTCAGGCCCTGCGCCGGGTCCCGTCGTCGCTGTTCGAGTGTGCTGAGCTCTGTCCAGGGCGGAGGACGGAGCAGGCTGGTGGCACCTGCCAGGGGTGGGCTGGTCCTCCGTCTGTCTCCGAACCCACCTTGGGGATTTCTACTCACGGACATTTCTGCACACCTTCAGGGATGCATCTGGAGGGCTGGAGGGGGCCTGGAGCCCCAGCGGCTGTGGCTGGGGCGGAACTTTGAGAGTGGTGCTGTTGTACGCTTTTCTGGGGACCAGTATGGGTGCAGTAGCCCCTGAGAGGCCTAAGGGTGATCCGTGAGGACTCACGCGTAAAGCAGAGCGGGCGGAGCCGAGCCATGCCGCCCTTGGTGCTGGAGCGCCGTCCTGGGCTGCAGCCCGGTGTCTCGCTGCTGGTGCGGTACTTCATGATCCCCTGCAACGCCTGCCTCATCCTGCTGGCCACCTCCACGCTGGGCTTTGCTGTGCTGCTCTTCCTCAGCAACTGTATGTGGCCGCTGGGTGTGGCCACGTGGGTGTGGCCCAAGGGCCCTGCTTTTGCTGGACAAGCCCTGCTTCTCAGCTGCCAAGGGTTCCAGGGCAGGCAGGGTCACAGGAAAGCCAGGGATCATGACATGGCTTGTATAGAATGGGCCATCTGTGCCTTTTGGGGCTCCTTGTACCCCTTGCAGGGCTGAGCCTCATTCTGTGGGGGCAGAAACAATTTTCTGTAGTGTTGGGCAGGGGTGTCTGCATGGGGAATGGGGTGGTGCAGGGACAGGGCTTGGAGCTGTATACCTCTGGGGAAGCAGGTGGCTGTTTGATTCTTGCTGCACCCAGACAGATGCCAGGCCAGGGCCATGCCACCGATGGAGCAGAGACAGGCATGGGGCCTCTATCTTTGTCCTCTAAAACCTCAGTTAGTATAGGAGGGTCAGGGCTGGGTGCCTCGGCTTCCAGCCTAGATCTCTGGGCAAGGGGTGGGATGAGGAGATTGCAAAGGGTCTAACTTGGAGATTTATCTTTTGCAGACAAACTTGGGACCCACTTCACATCAGCCCCTCTGATGCCTCCTGATGGTGAGTACATTGGGGATTGGGGCTGTGCTGCAGTGTGGTGCTCTAGGGGTGTCTGGAAGAGTCCACAGGGTGGGCAGTGCCAGAAGCTTTGTCTCGGCTGCTGGCCAGTGCACATGAGCAGCGGGCTAACTTTTGTGGGCCTCAGTCTCCAATAGTGGGAAAAGTCCTGAGGCCTGCCATGGTGAGGTGATGTCAGACTATGGGATCCTGGGACAGTAAGATCAGAGTTTGGCCATGGTGGGGCTTCTTCTCTTGTGTCCTCCTTTTGTTGGTTCAGGAAGGAGTGGGGCTGGACAGCAGCTAGAAGCAGAAACACCAGGGAGAAGACTGGTGGAGGTAGGGCACAGCTCAGCTGGACCAGAGACAGCTGTCTGAGGAGGGCCCTAGAGGGCCTGGGTGTGTGCAGGCTGGAGTGGGAGAGTGCAAGTGATGGAGGAGGCGGGCTGACCTTTAGGACTGCTTTGTGGAATGTGGCTGGGCCTCCCAACAAGGTGCTGGAGTGTGGGACTGTAATTACTCTAATGTCAGGGAGAGGAAGCTGGTGCAGGCTTTGAGAACAAGGAGTGGTCCACAGCCCCTCACCCAGCCTGGTCCTTCAGCAGGGGGCAGGAGCTCCAGGTCCACTCTGTTTCCCACCTCAGGGTCCTCTAAAGGGAGGGTAGTGTCCAGGTCCATAGACATCACAAGTCCAGAGCTGACTACATGTAGGGTAGGGGCTGTGGCTTTGTCCTGACCAAGACATGGGTGGGGAGAACAACTTGAGGGAATCCTGTGGGAAGGGCTGTGGGTCTCCTCTGGGGATAGGGCTCTGTATTCTCAGTGCACTCCTAGCTTGCTTATTCTACACCACTTCCTGCATCTTAGCTGTATGTGGCAGGGTGACTAGATGTGGCATGGCCTCTCTTCAGGCTGCTCCCATGAGACTGTGAAGGCCTCAGCGTGCCAAGCCCCACCTGGAATGTGGGGAGGGGAGCCTGTAATAGGGTGGTGCTGTCTACCCTCCTGAAACACAAGAGCCCTTTGTGTCAGGGGAGCATGTTTCCACTGTGTGGTGTGTGACTTCAGGAATTTGCAGAGCTCCAAGAACCGATGGCTGGCAGAGTATGTGACTAGATGAGCAACCAGCTTGTCTTAGACTGCTGTCCCTCTTCTAGACTTGGGGCCAGGAGGGTGTGGCCCAGAACAGCCACCCCCCCACTTTTTGAGACAGGGTCTCACTATGTAGTTCAGGCTAGCCTTAAGCTCACTATGTAATCCAGGCTGGCCCTGAATTTGCAGCTATCCTCCAGCCTCCTGAGTGTTGGGATTACAGGCATGGGCCACCAAGCCCAGCAGTCCTCACATCTTATAGGAAGAAGCCCAAGCCCTCTCAGTGGTATGGACTGTGAGGAGGGGGCAGTCTATGTTGGATAGGTGCTTGGCTAAGGCCTGGGGCTGGGTATTGAGTGTCCATAGCCCATGGGAAAAATGTGTTGTATCATTTTGGCTCAGGTGGAGGACACTTCCCTTCCCCCTTTAACACCCTCAGCCTCTCTCTGGAGCCCAGAAGACTGCTGAGCACTCCCTGTCCCTGACATACATTGCCCTCCCCACACCTACACATGGCTGTCCACACCCTGGCTGTCTCTTGCATGCTGTGGCCATGGCCATTGCATACAATGGCCGTAGCCATTACTGTACACAGAAGTTCTTATACCTGGACACAAGTAGGGCTTGGGGCATCTGCTCCATCTCCCAACCCCCTGAGACCAGGAGGGAAGTTAAATATACCCACTGCAAGCGGCTATAAAAAGCTGATGCCGCCTCCAATGCTACAGAGTACTTGGGCCCAGCAGAAGCTGTTGCACAAAGCTGAGCAGGCACACATAGGAGGGCCCCCAGAGGTAACCCACTGGAGGCCCAGGGCTCATGGGTGCCCCTTGTACCACTTGCATTTGAGGGGTGGGATGTGGGCAAAGACCAGACGCATGGGGGCACCTAATGGCAGCTCTGTTTACTAGCAGTGTGACTGTCAGGGGACCTCCCTATGCCCCATCTTCCTCTTCTGCTTAGTACACTTCAGGAAGGCATTATAAGGGCTCATGCAGGGTGTGGCTGATATCACAGGCTCTGTCTTGCCTGTGTGCAGTCCCTGTGTGCACCAGTCTACAGGTGGTTTCTGCCTGTCCCTGCCTTTATATTCAACTGAGAAACTTAAGTGAGTTTCTGTGGCTTCCTAGTCCTATGGGAAGGGAGGCAGTTCACAGCCATGGTGAAGATGTCAGGTGTATGGGAACAGCCCCCCACCCAGCCTGATGGCATGAGCATGGGAAGAAGAGAGAGGCTCCATGGGTGGTTCACAATGCCCCCTCAGGAGCAGCTGTCCTTGGCTTCAGGGTCAGGACTGTGGGAGAGGTCTGGCCGGACTGGGGCGAGCAGAGGAGAGAAAGGCTGAGCCTAGATCCTAAGCATAATGGCAGGCAGAGAAGCCTAGGTGCAAGGGGGGGTGACTGAGTCCTTGACCCTGGGTTTGGACCTGGGGAAGACTTAAGCAGTACAGCTGAAGCCTAAGAGCATCCATAACTGCCCATTGGATTTGGCCTGGGGGAGAGAGGGGTGAGTCAGAGAGGGGTGCTATGGGAGGGAGGAGAGGTGGGAGGGAGGTGACGGCCAGGCACAAAGGGGCCACTGGTAGACATGGTTTGAGCCAGAGCAGAGCAGAGACCCATGGTGATGGCAATCCTACCACTGTGTGTGTCACAGCACCACACTCCACATAGTGCCTGGTCTGGGCACCCTATGCTTTTACTCTTTAACCTTACATCCCCAGGAGGCCAGTTCTGTTGTCTCCATTCACAGAAGGGGATGCTGAGGCACAGTGAAGGACAGCATAGCCCATAGTGAGTGGGGGACAGGAGCAAGGTAGGCTAGAAAGGGCAGGCCCAGGTCCCTCTTCACTTAGCCTTCTGGTGTGGAAGCCAGGATGCCCAGACAGGCAAGCAGAAGCTTGGGGTGGGCTGCTGTCATGGCAATGGCTGGCTCCAGCCTCCAGTGCACCCCCACTCTTCTAGGAGATGGAGAGGGGCTTCCTTCTGCTTCATTTCCTGAGCTTGCTGGGAGGTAATGGGGAGCCTGCCCTTCATGCCTTATTAATGATAATTTGATCAACTAAGCATTTACTAGATCCAGACAGCTGTTACCTGACCCATGGGTGCACATCAACCTGGGTAGGGCCTGAGGAGCCAGCCTGACCCATCCCTAGGGCTATGCTTATCAGGGCTGCCCTCAGCACTGTCTTTAATGACTCTGGGTTTAAACGTCCCCGTGTCAGCCCAAGGACTGGACCCTCCCTGAGCTACCCAACTTGAGCTACTGTGGAGGCCTGTGATGGGAACACTGCTCTGTAGCATGAAGAACTGGACTGTTAGGAAGTAAAGTAACTTTATGATATGGAGGCTCAGGAGGATGCTAAGATATTTGCCCAAGTGACCCCAGGGAGAGAAGCCACCTTTGGCTTGAGACTAGAGAGGCCTGAGGGGTGGGAGGCACAGATGGGGCAGGCTGGCTGTGGGCCTTGGGATGGTAAGGGGTGTTCACAAGTTGAGTTTGGGGAGGAGAGACCACAGTGCAGGGAACAAGAGCGAAGGGGAAAGGGAGCGATTGAGGAAGAACTGGGCCCCTGGGGCCTGGCAAACCTGGCAGAGGATGGGGGGGTAGGTTTAGAGTGAGAGGGTAGAAGGTGCCGTCTGGCTTCGGAAGGCCAGGGAGCTGGTCTTCAGCAGAGGTGTCTGGGACAGGTGTGGTGGACCTAGCACCTTCTAAGAAGGGGCCCCGAAGCTGGTGAACTGGGCTTGAAGTAGAGGGTACCAATCAGACGAGGACTCTGATGCTGATACAGGAGAGGACTACTGAACAGAGCAGGCCTCTCTTGCTGTATTGGGGGTCCTCTGAGGACCCTGCCCTGTTGTGAGAACACAGATGCCCTGTCTACAGTGTTGGGTATGGGGAGGGTGATGAGAGCATGTACTCCTAGAAGATCCTGGATCTGATAGGGGACCCTGTGAGTGTGTGTGCAAGCCAGTCGGGAGCTGTGCTCTTGGGGTTTGGGAATTCACTCCGTGTGCAACTCCAGTGTGCAAGGGAATGCTCTGTGGCTTTGGTGCCATATGCGAGCCCAGCACAGAAGATCCAGGCCAGGCCTCCTGTGTGTGCAAGAAGAGCACCTGCCCAGCTGTGGTGGCACCTGTGTGCGGTTCGGATGCTTCCACCTACAGTAATGAGTGTGAGTTGCAGCGTGCACAATGTGTCCTGCAACGGCGCATCCGCCTGCTCCGCCGTGGGCCCTGTGGTGAGTGTACGCATGCTCGTCATGCATGCATGTGTGTTCCTGTGTGTATGTGTGTACTTGCATGGGGAGGGAAGGCGGCCTGTGACCCCATGCTGCTGCCCATAGGGTCCAGGGACCCCTGCGCCAACGTGACCTGCAGCTTTGGCAGCACCTGTGCACGCTTGGCTGATGGGCAGACTGCCACATGCCTGTGCCCAGTGACCTGCCATGGGGCCCCAGAAGGTACTGTGTGTGGCAGTGATGGCACCGACTACCCTAATGAGTGCCAGCTTCTGCGCCATGCCTGTGCACGCCAGGAAAACATCTCCAAGAAGTTCGACGGCCCCTGTGGTGAGTGCAACCCACTGCCACCTGCAAGTGCCACTCCTCCCATGTGTGAACGTGGTGACCAGCCTGACTTGGCCTTCTACTCCAGACCCCTGCCAAGGAGCCCTTGCTGACTTGAGCCGCATCTGTCGTGTGAACCCACGCACACGGCGCCCGGAGATGCTTCTACGGCCAGACAGCTGCCCTCCCCGGCACTCACTTGTGTGCGGGGATGATGGAATCACTTACGAAAATGACTGCATCATGGGCCGCACTGGGGTCGTCCGGGGCCTGCTCCTCCAGAAAGTGCGTTCTGGCCAGTGTCAGCCTCAAGGTGTGTGGCTCCCAGTTCCTCTCCCATGTGTGACTGCCCTCTCCTGCACACTGTGTGCCCACAGGTTCCTGCTGATGATGGCATGGGACTAATGCTCTGGCCTCTCTGATCTCCTTGCCTGCCCACAGATCAGTGCCCTGAGCCTTGCCAGTTCAATGCTGTGTGCCTGTCTCGCCGTGGCCGTCCCTACTGCTCCTGTGACCGTGTCACCTGTGATGGGGCCTACAGGCCCGTGTGCGCCCAGGATGGGCACACATATGACAATGACTGTTGGCGCCAGCAGGCCGAGTGTCGGCAGCAACGTGCCATACCCCCCAAGCACCAGGGCCTGTGTGGTGAGCACCCTGGGGCCAGTCTGTAGCCCCTGGACCCACGTCAATCCTTGTCTGACATCACATGCCATCTTCATCCTTCATCTTACACCTCCTGAATTCTGGGTCAGGGTGGTTACTCTGGGTGATGGGAGGCTGTGACGAGGGTGCCTGGGACCTCTGGGGAGTGGGACAGATGCAGGCCTGCACTTGCCCACGCAGGTTACTGCAAGCCCTCTGCTGCACCTGTGTGTCAGTCTTGTACTACATGAAGGCACAAACGGCCTGGGTGGGCAGGAGTGGACATGACACTAGGCTTCCCATATGCCTGGGATACACAGCTACCAGCTTCCTTAGGCAGCATCTCCATTGGGATCTGAGGGGCCAATGGAGGGTGGAGGCAGCTGGGCAGTGGTAGGTGTGTCCCATGGGGGCCAGGGCTGCTGTGGCCCTGCCTGCCTCTGTCCAACTCGGTCAGTGCACTTTCCATCTTTCTGGTCTCTTTTTCTGCGTCTGTCTTTTCTGGTCCTTCCCTCTTGGCTCCGCCTCTTGTGTCTTCCAGCCTGACCTGCTGGCAGGATGAGGTGCCGCGCCTGCCCGCCAAGAGCCCACAGCCTGAGGTCTGCCCCTGGCGTGGCTGGGGGGGGTGGCTCGCTGCTGCCTGGCCTTGTGGTCCTCAGAGCAAGTGGACAGACACCTCCTCCCCCGTGCAGCCCTGGGGGTGACTCTGGGGTGCAGACTCCTCCCACCCATGGAGAGAGAGCCCCATGTGCATGGGTGTCCTGGGTCTGCTGGTGGTCAGGGGTCAGTGCCCTGCTGTGGGCAGTCAGGAGGCTTCTGTCCCCATCTGCCTCTGTCGTGTGTCTGTCCCTTTCCCTGCTGTGTCCTGCGCATCTGGCTCTTCCTCTCTGCCATCCCCACCCTGGGAAAGGGATGCTGCGTGGGACTGGGGGCTTTGCCCACAGCTGGTGAGGAGGGCAGGTAGGCTGAGTGCCGTGTCCTCTCCAGCCCAGGCCCCATCTCCATGCCACGAGGTTCGGTGTGCGTTCGGGGCAACATGTGCAGTAAAGAATGGGCAGGCTGCATGTGAATGCCAGCAGGTGTGCACAGGTGTCTACGACCCCGTGTGCGGCAGTGATGGTGTCACGTATGGCAGCGTGTGCGAGCTGGAGGCCATGGCCTGTGCCCTGGGGCAGGAGATCCAGGTGGCCCGCCGAGGACCTTGTGGTCAGTGGTGGGCAGGTGGGTCTGGTGGGTAGGATAGCGCTCTGGCCAGCATAGTGATTGAGCCCCCTCCCTAGACCAGTGTGGGCTGTGCCATTTTGGAGCCCTCTGTGAGGCTGAGACTGGGCGCTGTGTATGCCCCTCTGAGTGCGTGGCATCAGCCCAGCCTGTATGTGGTTCTGACGGGCACACGTATGCCAACGAGTGTGAGCTGCATGTCCATGCCTGTACACAGCAGATCAGCCTGCAAGTGGTCTCGGCCGGACCCTGCCGTGAGTGGGGCTTCAGGGGCCAGGTGGGCCAGGGTTCCAGGACTCTCCAGCCAAGCTCTGCTAACCTCATTCTGGCTCTGTCTCCTGTAGAGACCTGTGGGGACACAGTGTGTGCCTTTGGAGCAGTGTGCTCAGCAGGGCAATGTGTATGTCCTCGGTGTGAGCACCCCCCACCGGGCCCTGTGTGTGGCAGTGACGGCATCACCTACCCTAGTGCATGTGACCTGCGGGAAGCTGCCTGCCGGCAGCAGATGCAAATTGAGGAGACCCGGGCCGGGCCCTGTGAGCAAGGTAGGCTTGGGGGCAGCTAATGTGAGCTGCTGGGTACCCACCTCCAAAAGGAGGCCCTGGGTGACTCAGTTCTCTTTTCATAGCCGAATGTGGCTCAGGAGGCTCTGGCTCTGGGGAGGATGGTGATTGTGAGCGGGACCTATGCCAGCAGCGTGGCGGCGTCTGGGATGAGGATTCAGAAGATGGGCTTTGTGTCTGTGACTTCAGCTGCCAGAGTGTCCTAAGGAGCCCGGTGAGCACCTCCACGCCCTGAGCTCTAAGGGGGCATGAGGAGAGGGCTGCTGTCACACTGACCTGTACCCCCTCCAGGTGTGTGGCTCAGATGGGGTTACCTATGATACTGAGTGTGACCTGAAGAAGGCCAGGTGCGAGTCTCAGCGAGAACTGTACGTCGCAGCTCAGGGAGCCTGCCGCAGTGAGTGGGCCCTGCACAGGAGGGCCTGGGCACGTGGGGACGTCTGCGTGTGCATTTTTGTAGCGGTCTATGTGTGCATGAGTATGCATATGTCCTCTCCTGGGCCTGTGGATCAAGGTTATGTTAAGTGTGCACTGTTGATACATTCTGCCTTGTGCAGTTGCAGTGTTGGCAAGTGTGCAGGAAGTGTTATCTGAGCTAGGCCAACCTTCAGTGGAAGCAACCAAGAGCACAGGGGCAGGGCACCCTTTGGGCACTTGTGGGTGGAAAATGACAGTGATCAAGTACAGGTGACACGTCTGTCATAAGTTTGTGCCCACACAAGTCCTCATGAGTGTGCTTGTGCATGTATACAGATGCATGCTTGCACAGGTATGTGTAAATGTGTATGGTTTAGTAGTTTTGCTGCGGCCTGTGCAGTTGAAGGGCCAATGGAGGGGAGAAACGGTGGGTGATGAAAAAGACAGACAGAGAGATACAAAAAGCTGAGGTACAAAAACCTTCGTCTTGATGGGAGAAAAAGACTGCCTGGTAACTGCAGCATATTTATTTATAGTGGTAGAGATAAGGGAAGCGCAGGGGGAGGTGAAAGGGGCTGGTCTGTAACTGGAATCAGAAGAGCAGCTAAGGTCTGCAGAACATCATACTTTGATGGTTTTATGGCAAATGGGAGGGGAGGAAGACACGTTTTGTTGTTAGATGCAGCCTTTTTTTTTTTTTTTTTTAACCAGTACTGGGGACTGAACTCAGGACCTTGGCACTTGCCAGGCAGGCACGGTGCCACTGAACTACATCCCCAGCCCACTGACACATCTTTTGGTCAGGCTTGCTGTAACATACTGTCTTGCCTGTTCTCCCAAGGGGCTCTGCCTCACCCATCAGAGGAAGTGAACAAGATTTGTGTTTTTTGTTTCACTTGGGGCCTTGTCTCATCCTCGGGAGGAGGCAAATTAGGCCTGGCCATAGTGATCTGCAACACAGCGCTCCCAGCAGTTTCATGTATTAATGTGCATTCACAGCTGGGCACGGTAACACATCCCTGTAATCTCAGCATGTGGAAGGCTGAGGCAGGAGGATTGCCAAGAGTTCAAGGCCAGGCTGGGATACATAGTGAGTTCAAGTCCAGCTTGAATTACAGAGTAAGATCCTGTCTCAAGAAAAATGCATATATGGGGGTGACGTGGCACCATGCCAGCCTGGTAAGTGCAAGGTCCCAAGTTCAATCTCCAGTACCCGGGGTGGGGGGGAAGCACATGTATAATGTGTGATCAAGATATATATGTAGTAAAAGCTTATATTTTAAAAATTTATTACAGTAGAAGACATTGTTATGAATCCCTCTCAAGATACTCCCCCTTGCTTGGAACACACTTATCTCATGTACTTGCCACATTTTGAAGCAGTTTTGGAAATCCTCTTTGTAAATAGTCTTTATAAGGTGTGATTAAAAATGCAGTGACCCCCACTACCAAGTGCTGTCTACTGGAAAGCCAGGCTTGTAAAAACATGACATGTGTCCTCATCCACCTTATTCATAGATCTGGTACCATGTGACTTCTGGCTCTTTCCCAAAGTCAAAATGACTATGAATGGCAAACGTTTCGAATCAGTTCACAACATTGAGGCAGCCAAGACAGCACAACTAAAGATAGTTTACAAAAGAAGATAGAACTGCTTCAAAAAGTGTCAAGAACGGTGGGATAAAATTATTCAAAGTGAGGGAGAGTATTTTGAGGGAAAGTAACAGCAGTGTGTTTATCATAATAAATTATTTATGAAACATTCACCTTATTTTTGTCACACCTCATACACACATCTCCATATATGTGTGTACCAGTTTGCAAAGACACATTTTTCTGTGTGTGTGTGTGTGTGTGCACGCGTACGTGTGTGCACGTGCATGTGTGTGGCTTTAATTGTATATTTGGAGCTGTGTGTCTATGTTCTGGGGTATTCTGTGTGTAAGTGGCCCGTGTGTCCTGGGTCCTACATTCACAAATGTGTCCTTGTATTTGATGTTGTAACCCCAGTTCAGATCTTCAGGCCCCAGTGGGGTTAGGGTCAAGAGGGCTGAGTGGTGATGGTATGGGGAGGTTGAAGCAGAGTGGCCAGCCGAGGGTGTGTGTCCAGTACTGCATGAAGTCTCAACCTTGTGCCTTCCTACAGGTCCCACATTGGCCCCACTGCTGCCTGTGGTTCTCCCACACTGTGCCCAGACCCCCTATGGCTGCTGCCAGGACAATGTCACCACTGCCCAGGGTGTGGGCCTGGCTGGCTGCCCTAGTGAGTACCAAGCCAGCCCTGAGTCCTGAGCTGTCAGAGCTGTGCGGTCACTGTGACCTCTGCTCCCTCTCCTCACAGGCATCTGCCAGTGCAACCCACATGGCTCGTATGGTGGCACCTGTGACCCAGCCACAGGCCAATGCTCCTGCCGACCAGGTGTGGGGGGCCTCAAGTGCGATCGCTGTGAGCCTGGCTTCTGGAACTTCCGTGGCATCGTCACTGACAACCTGAGTGGTTGCACTCGTAAGTGATGGCCCCCACTGGCCTGGCCTTTACCCAGCAGGCCTCTGAAGCAATGGGAAGCCAACACAGGTACAGCCATCAGGCTCCTCCCTCTCCCCCAGCCTGCAGCTGTGACCCCCGGGGTGCCGTGCGGGATGACTGTGAGCAGATGACTGGACTGTGCTCCTGTAAGCCAGGCGTGGCTGGGCCCAAGTGTGGGCAGTGTCCAGATGGCCAAGCCCTGGGCCCTGCTGGTTGTGAAGCAGGTGAGGGCAAGGGCCAGTGGTGATGTGGGGCTCCCTGTGCGGGGAGGACAGCCTGAGCTGGGGGTCTCCCATGTCTGCCTCAGGCTCCTTGGTGCCCAAGACCTGTGTGGAGGTACACTGTGAGTTTGGAGCCTCCTGTGTGGAGGGAGCTGGTTCTGCCCACTGTGTCTGCCCAGCCCTCACGTGCCCAGAGGCCAATGCCACCAAGGTGAGGGTCAGAGCATGTGGAGGGCGGTTGGGTGGAGGAGGACTTGCCTGAGCATATCCATCCTGTGACCCAGGTCTGTGGGTCAGATGGCGTCACATATGGCAACGAGTGCCAGTTGAAGACCATCGCCTGCCGCCAGGGCCTGGTCATCTTCACCCAGAGTCTTGGCCCATGCCAAGGTACATCCTGGAAGCCACCACTCAGAACTGAGCAGGAAGCTCTGCCTGCCCTGACTGCAACCGCCAACACCCTGTCCTTGTAGATGCTGGTGCTTTCGGCACACACCCAACATCTGCATCTGTGACCACCCTGAAGCGTGTCCTGAGTGAGGCGTTGCCATCCCTCCCCAGCGCCCTTCCCTTGGCACCCAGCAGCGTCCCCCATGGCCAGCCCACCGCTTCGCCCACATCACGACCTCGGACCACATCCAGCATCCCCAGGCCCACTGTACAGCCTGTGCTAACCATACCCCCCACAGCAGCCTCCATTGGCACCAGCCTTGCCTCATCGGCCTTTGGTGAATCCGGCAGCACTGATGGCAGCGGTGACGATGAGCTCAGTGGAGACCAGGAGGCCAGTGGGGGAGGCTCTGGGGGTAAGCAGGGGCTTGGGGTCCTGTGAACAAGTTCAGAGTGAGCAGGGGTTCGGGATCATGGGAGCAGGTCTGGGGCGAGCAGAAGTTTGGGGTCATGGGAGGAGGTCAGGGGCAAGCAGGGTTTCCAGGTCATGGGAGCAGGTCAGGGACGAGCAGGGGTGAGTCTAGGAACGGGGACAGAGTCCAAAGAAGTTGCCACCTGGGGCTAAATTCAGATGCTACCTCCTCAGGACTTGAGTTTCCCTCGGGGATCAGCGTGGTGACTCCTGGGCCACCCATGGAGAGGGCTTCCTGCTACAACTCCCCCTTGGGCTGCTGTTCAGATGGCAAGACACCCTCGCTGGACACAGAGGGCTCCAACTGCCCTGGTAAGTGGGTGTTGGGAGCAGGGTGAAGCTTGAAGAGCAGCCTGGACACACCAGGGTTCTGTTCCCACCCCCTGGCAGCAGGTTGGTACTGGGTTTGTAGTCTGGTGGCATCAGCACATGCGTGTGGGGATTCAGCACACATGTGGTCTAAGCCTCCAAACACATGTGCGTGCCAAGACCCTTGCCTAACCGTCTCTCTCCTTGCAAGCCGACCTGGGGCACCTGCTCCGAGGAATCCACCTGGTAACTGACGCCAGCCCTGCCCTGGGGTCCCCACTAACCTCATGACCATCTGACTAACATCCACCTGCCCCTGTGCCCCAAGTGGCTTGCCACGGGTGCCTGTGCCCATGGCTGGCCCAGGAGGCCAGGTGGGTGCCAGGCAGAGCCTCACTGCCCTTCCCCTACAGCCACCAAGGCGTTCCAGGGCATACTGGAGCTGGAGGGGGTCGAGGGGCAAGAGCTGTTCTACACACCCGAGATGTCTGACCCCAAGTCAGAGCTGTTTGGGGAGACTGCCCGGAGTATTGAGAGCTCGGTGAGTGGGAGGCAGCTCCTGGGACAGACCCACAGGAGCTCCAGGACAGGATACCTGATGGCCAGGACCACTTGCAGCTGGTTTTAGGTGGCACCCCATGTTCTCACCCTTTCCCTACTGGCAGCTGGATGACCTGTTCCGAAACTCCGATGTCAAAAAGGACTTCCGGAGTGTCCGCCTGAGGGACCTGGGGCCTGGCAGATTGGTCCGAGCTATTGTGGATGTGCACTTTGACCCCAGTGAGTCCCCTACCCCAGGACCTCTCATAGGAGACTATGGGTGGGAGCTGCAGGGGGCCAGACCATGCTCACTGCCTCCTCCTCCTCAGCCACAGCCTTCAGGGCTCCAGACGTGGGCCGGGCCCTCCTCAGGCAGATCCAGGCATCCCGGCGGAGGGGTTTGGTGGTGAGGAGACCTCTGCAGGAACATGTGCGATTCATGGACTTTGGTAAGCACTCTGAGAGCAAGTTTGGGTCCCCTTTCCCTGTACCCTGCCCCTGCAGGGCCTGACAGCTGCCTACCCCACAGACTGGTTTCCAGCCTTCTTGACAGGAGCTGCCACGGGAGCTACAGCTGTGGTGGCCACAGCCAGAGCCACCACTTCGGGCCAACTGCCCTTCTCTGCTGTGACCCCTCGGGCCTACCCCAGTCACACCAGCCAACCTATAGGCAGGACCACAGCAACCCCCACCACACACCGGCTGCCCACCACGGCCCCCAGTCGCACGGCAGGACACCGGCCCCTGCCTCCAGGCCTCCAGCAGCCCCCAAGGCCGTGTGCCTCCCAGCCCTGCCTCCACGGAGGCACTTGCCAGGACCAGGACTCTGGCCAAGGCTTCAGTTGCAGCTGCCCAGCGGGCAAGGGTGGCACCATCTGCGAGGAGGGTGAGAATGGGCAGCACAGGGGACAGGCATTCAGGGTCAAAGGGGGTACCTGGGCTGTGCACCCACAGGGGTGCCCTCCTCCAGCCGGCCTCCCTGCCCCCTGCAGTGCTGCGCCCCTCTGTGCCTGCCTTCTGGGGCCACTCCTTCCTGGCTTTCCCCACCCTCCGTGCCTACCATACCCTGCGCCTGGCCCTGGAATTCCGGACTCTAGAGCCACAGGGGCTTCTGCTCTACAATGGAAACAACCACGGCAAAGATTTCCTGGCACTGACTTTGAGGAATAGACGGGTGCAGCTCAGGTGAGCTGGGGCGGGGGGGAAGAGGGGTCCACCAGCTTGTGGGGTAGCTCAAAGGGATGAGTGGGGGCAGGGTAAATGGTCAGGGTCTTCTGTTGCTTACAGGGCAGGGCCAGAGTGTGGATGGAGCCATGTCAACTGCAGCTTGGGTGGGTGTGGCCAGTCCTGGTGAAGCTGGGGCGATCCTGGTAGCATGTGCCAGGTCATTTCCCAGAGTCTCTGCTCCTGCCCTAGGTTTGACACAGGTTCTGGGCCAGCAGTGCTGACCAGTTCCATGCCTGTAGAACTGGGCCGGTGGCACCGCCTAGAACTATCAAGGCACTGGCGCCAAGGCACACTCTCCGTGGATGGTGAGAGCCCTGTTGTTGGCGAGAGTCCCAGTGGCACAGATGGCCTTAACCTGGACACAGACCTTTTTGTGGGTGGCGTCCCAGAGGACCAGGCTGCTGTGTGAGCAGAAGTAGGGTGGAGTGGCTCTGATGGACTCGGGCCCCAGTGTTGACCTTGACCTCCGTGCTGACCTTTGACTCTGCGGCCCAAGCTACCCTGTGCATGCTAACGGGGTGGGATGGCTATGGATGGTGGCTGTCAATCTGACCTTAACCCCAGCCCGTGATCTGTCCTGCCCCTGCCCTGTTTGTGATGGCATCCTGGTTCTGCTGGCTCTGACCTTCAGTCTTGATGTTTAACCAACCCTCAACCCTACCTTCTGACTTTGTTGTTTATGGGACCGGCCACCTTGTGATTATCTGGAAATGGGGGTGGCCTTGACCTCAGCTTGTGGGTACCCAGTGTAGAGAGGGCATCTCTAGCCTTTGTCTCTGACCCTTGATCCTATCCTCACGCCAGGGTGCTTGAGCAGACCTCTGTTGGGGTTGGTCTGAGGGGCTGCATTCGCCTACTGGACATCAACAACCAGCAGCTGGAGCTGGGCAGCTGGCAGAGAGCTGCAGCCCAAAGCTCTGGTATAGGCGAGTGTGGAGATGACCCCTGCGTGCCCAACCCCTGCAGTGGTGGAGTATCGTGCCAAGCACTCGAGGCTGGCATGTTCCACTGTCAGTGCCCACCAGGCCACTTTGGTGAGAGTGGGCTTGGGCCAGGTGCTAGGGGTGGAAACCAGGTGTCTTGGGCAGGGACTTAGCCCTCTTGGGACCTCTATCATTCTCCCTGCAGGTCTGACCTGTGCCAGCAAGAAGAACCCCTGCCAGCCAAACCCCTGCCATGGAGCAGCCCCATGCCGTGTACTGCCTGAGGGGGGTGCCAAGTGCGAGTGCCCCCTTGGGCGTGAGGGAGCCCTCTGCCAGACAGGTAGAGGCCACAGGACAGTGTGAAGTGTTAGGGTCAAATGTTTGGGTTGAGTTATGGTTCAGCTTTTTGGTTCCATGGGAGTTGGGACTTGGACTAGTGCCAGACTTGAATTAGGCACAGGGTTATGAGGCAGTGGGGGTGCGGGAGATCCTAGGAGTCAGCACCTGCTGCCCTGAGAGACTTCCCCACATCTGGCTCTCCATAGTTTCAGAGCGGGACCATGGCTCCCAGCCCTTCCTGGCTGATTTCAGTGGCTTCTCCTACCTGGAACTGAAAGGCTTGCACACCTTTGGACGAGACCTGGGGTCAGTAGGGCAGGGGGTGGGAGAGCTTGTGGGGAGGGGCTACATTGAGTGTAGGGGAGGGAATGGTGGGACACTCTCACAAACCTGTATGACCCTAGGGAGAAGATGGAGCTGGAGATTGTATTCCTGACCCGTGGCCCCAGTGGCTTGCTCCTCTACAATGGGCAGAAGACGGATGGCAGGGGGGACTTTGTGTCACTGGCCTTACGTGACTGGCACCTAGAATTCCGTTATGACCTGGGCAAGGGGGCTGCAGTCATCAGGTGAGCCATTGTGGCTGGGCTGCAGATTCTGGACTATCCCTGGTGGAGACATGGCTGGGGGCACAAGGTGGGGTCACTGTCCTGGGCTACCAGAGCCCAGGGCCTGCTCACAGTGCTGTCCCCACAGGAGTAAGGAGCCTGTGGCCCTGGGCATCTGGAAAAAAGTCTCACTGGAGCGAAATGGCCGCAAGGGTGCGCTGCGTGTGGGCAATGGGCCCCGGGTGCTAGGGGAGTCCCCGGTGAGTGTCTGGGAGAAGTAGAAAGCCATGGACTCCACCCACTCTGCCTGCCACCCCTTTCTCTGCCCAGGGCCTTGGGCAGCCTGTGGCTGGCTCTTACAGAACTGTTTTCTTTCGTCTGTCCTGGGCCTCCGTCTGTCTTCTCTCTGCCCTCACTGCTCTCTGGCTCTTGCTCTGCACCCCCACCCGCTCTCCGGATGTCAGAAATCCCGCAAGGTACCGTCCGCCTCTTAACCCTGTCATCATCTCCTCACCCATCTAGAGTAGCCCCTTCCCACTAACTCCTGCGTCTCCGTTTCTGTGACTGACACTGCCTCCTAGGGAGTGGGGCTGAGCTCAGGGCACCCTGGCGTGTGCTTGGCCTGTCCCTGACCACTGGGCCTCACATAGCCCCTTACCCAGTGCCTCCTACAGGTGCCACACACCGTACTCAACCTGAAGGAGCCGCTTTATGTCGGGGGTGTCCCTGACTTCAGCAAGTTGGCTCGGGCAGCTGCAGTGTCCTCTGGCTTCGATGGTGCCATCCAGCTGGTATGAGGGATGGGATTGGGGCCCAACTCCAGGGCTGTCTGTGGGGGTAGGGTACAGGAAAGACCTTTAGGGAGAGTACTTCTAGGCAACTAAGGCTCTTGCCCCTGAACCCTGCAGATCTCCCTGGGAGGCCGCCAGCTGCTTACCCAGGATCATGTGCTGCAGGCAGTGGGTATCTCATCCTTTGCTGACCACCCTTGCACCAAAGCCTTGGGCCACCCCTGTCTCAATGGAGCCTCATGTCTCCCACGGGAAGCCGCCTATGAGTGCCTGTGTCCCCCAGGCTTCTCAGGGCTGCACTGTGAGAAAGGTGAGCTCTGGCTACACATGGCTGAGGCCAGATGAGGCCCTGGGGTTGCTGGGGGCCTATGTGACAGCCTATCTCTCAGGGCTGGTTGAGAAGTCGGCGAGAGACCTAGAGACGCTGGCCTTTGATGGGCAGACCTACATCGAGTACCTGAACGCTGTGAGGGAGAGGTAATGCGCCTCCAAGAGCCAGGCACCCCTCCTCCCACTGCTGTCTGTCTGATCCTGTCTGTACATACCAGCAGAACAGGGCAGGACATCAGAGCCCCACAAGCTCACTGGCTCTGTGCCAGGAGGGCAGGCCCAGTGTCTGTCCCACCTCTGCCCTCCTCCCTTCTCACTGTCTCTGTCTCTTTGTTTCCAAGCGAACTGGCCAATGAGATCCCAGTGTAAGTAGCCTCTGGCCCCCATCTCACCCATGCCGCCATGTCCATCATGTGCACCCCCACCTGGCAGCACAGTTCTAGCCCCACTGAGGGCAGAGCTTCCCATCCTGGATGGTGGATGGGTGTCGAGGACTATGAAGTGGGGACCTCCCCCTCCCAGGACCCATGCAAGGGCTGGTTGCGTCACCCCCCATGATCACCCCCCACGCAGCAGCAGTTCAAGTGCACACATGGGCTGTGTATTTATGTGCAAGTTTCCACATGTACACATGCTGTGTGCATATCTGCTATGAATGTAGGCGCACGTGTGTACACGGCCCACTTGTGAACACAGGTGTGTGTGAGAGGAGGTATGAGCCTGTATGTGTGTGCACGTGTGTGTGTTCTTGTGTGTGTCTGTGTATGCACATGTGCTGCATACCCAGTGCTGCTCCCTGGTAGGTGAGCGCTCTGTCCCCATCCACGTCACCATGCCTCACCCCATCTCCTCTGCACCCGGCCAGGCAATGCCTCAGCTATGTCTGCACACACTTGTTGCACACATATCACTGCCTAGGCTCTCTAGGGGATGGGTCAGTAGAATTTGGGATTGTGCATGTCTCAGTGGATGCTTGCCAGTGTTGAAAAGGGGACTTGAACCTATCTACCCTCCTCACTGCTTCCCTTTCTTCCTGCTTCTAAGCCCGGAAACTCCAGATTCCGGGGCCCTTCACAGGTGAGCACATGGCAGTGCTTGGGACCCTGGCCGGCCCTTACCCTGCTGTGTGCCTGCCCATTGTCTTGGTCTCTCTCTCCATTTCTCTGCCGCTCTATCCTTCCATCTGTCTGCCTCTCGTCTACCCCACTATTGCTGCCCTTGCCCATGCAGCTGCCCTTGCCCATGCAGCTGCCCTGGGTCCCATCACCAGCTCCAGCCCTCTTGCCTCCTTACCCCATGCCCTACTGCCTTCCTCAAGGCCTGACTCGCTTCCCCCACAGCGAGAAGGCGCTGCAGAGCAACCACTTTGAACTGAGCTTGCGCACTGAGGCCACTCAAGGGCTGGTGCTGTGGAGTGGCAAAGCCACAGAGCGCACAGACTATGTGGCTCTGGCCATTGTGGATGGGCGCCTGCAGCTGAGCTATGACTTGGGCTCCCAACCCGTGGTGCTGCGCTCCACTGTGAAGGTCAACACCAATCACTGGCTTCGGGTCAGAGCTCACAGGTTAGTGGCTCACCATGAATACAACGGGCAGCACCTTAACTCAGTAGCCAGGTCATGTCTTTTCCCCTTGACTGAGGGTCACTAGCAGTGAGAGGGAGGAAGGAAGGATAAGTATGTGTGAGGGAAGCACTTGTGGCCAGGGACTTGCTGCTGCCATCCTGGCCCCTAGGCATGAGTCCTGGTGTGGCTTTCAGGGTGCAGCGCCTACATGGTATGGGATGGGGCTGAGTGTTGGGGCAACAGCACTGATCCTCTTGCCCACCCGCACCCTCAGGGAGCAGAGGGAAGGATCCCTTCAGGTGGGCAACGAAGCCCCTGTGACTGGCTCCTCCCCGCTGGGCGCCACACAGCTGGACACAGATGGAGCTTTGTGGCTCGGTGAGTGTTTCGGGGGAGGCCAGAGAAGGACCACAGTGGTGTCAGAATGTCTGATACAAGTCCTGTCCTGAGTCAGCCCAACAGGACAGCGCTGTAGCCTCAGGAGTGCATGTGTGGACCCACCTACTGGTCTCTGTTCCCGGGCACCAGTGCCCCTCTGCCCACCACATCCCTGAGTTGCAGCTGAGTGACTTCCTTTATCTGTCCTTTAGGGGGCCTCCAGAACCTGCCCATGGGCCAGGTCCTGCCCAAGGCCTATAGCACAGGCTTTGTGGGCTGCCTGCGGGACGTGGTGGTGAGTGGGCGCCCGCTGCACCTGCTGGAAGATGCAGTCACCAGGCCAGAGCTGCGGCCCTGCCCCAGCCCCTGACCAGCACCCAAGCCCCCACCCACCCTACTGTAATTATTTTCTATTTTTGTAAACTTGTTGGTTTTCATGTGATTTTCTTGCCTGTGTGGTGGCCAGAGGGACGCTGACCTGGCCTCCTTTCTGTCCAGGCAGCCGTGTTGCAGACACCTGGTGCCCAGGGACCCGCAGCGGCCATATGGCAGCCTCAGGACTTGCCCCTCTGCCTCAGGGTGGCATGCCCCAGCCCTTTGCGCTGTGTGTCCCTAGCGTGTCCGCCTGTCAGTCCCTTGTGTCCCTGACCCCATTGGCAGACCCCACTCCCAATGTCACCATGTTTTGTTGGATGAGGTCCATGTCCCAGAGCAGGGGAGCTGCTGGGTTTGATGGGGCCTTCATGTAAGCAAGCCCCTGGGCCTCCTGGTTCCCACTTACACTCTTGCCTGTGTATGCAGTGGGTGAGCCTCATCTGGCCTAGCCTGGAGCCTAGGGCCCTCTGTGCCAGTACTGTAACTTAGAAACAATGTTATTTTTGGGCCCATGCCCCACACCCCCAAGGGTGTCTGCTAGCCCCAGGGTGCTGGGGGACAGAGGCCAGGGCTGGGCTCATCCAGGGCACCCTCGCTAGGCCTGCCCACCCACCCTGGATTAGCTCCCCTTCATACACTCCAGGCCCAGTGAGGAGCTCCTAAGGGAGCATGATGTGGCCTTCTTCCCTCAGGTGGGTGTCTGGGCCTGACCACTAGCCTCATTTGGTGCCCGGAGGTCACACCTTTTGTCCTTCTGTGCTGGTCCCAGAGCAATCTGCATGAGGGAGGCTGTGCTCATCTGAGAGTGAACAGCATGGTGCCTGACCAAAGCCAAAGGGCAGGTGTAGGTGTGGCAGAGATGGCAGTGGAGCTGAAAATGCCTTAAACTGCAGCATCCATCCCACCACTCCCTGCCCTCCATGCAAACCATGCAAGGCCGTCTAAGGCTGGTGGGGTGGCAGCCTGGCTCCCCTGATGGGGAGGGGGAGGCAGGAGGGAGCCGCATGGGGTCTTGTTACTAACTCCAGTATGTGTTCGTCAAATGCCATGAAATAAAGACTGTAAACAAAGAGGGGCTATGTCTGTCCTTGCACACTAAGTACCAGCTCTGAACCTGGGGGCTTTCTGCCCAGCTTCATAATGTGGGCACAGACTTCAAGATTCCCTAGAGGCCCTGATTGGAGGACAGGGCCTGCACTGAGGAACTGTGTGGTGGGGTGCACATTTTACTCCAAGGGGCCTCCTTGGGGATAGCAAGGCTGTGGTATGTGTTTGCACATGGAACAGCCGCCCTGTGTCAGCACAGGATAGGGACAAGCTAAGGGACATTGGCTGGGTGAGGGGGGCCAACCACTGGCACTTCCAGGAGAGCTAACAAGGGAGCCCTGATGGGATTATGGGTGACCATTGGCAGTAGGCCAGGCATCTCAGGAGGAGCTAGGAAAGAAAGGGACTTAGGGATTTAGACATAAAAAGTGTGTGTGTGTGTGTGTGTGTGTGTGTGTGTGTGTGTGTGTGTGTGTGTGTGTGTGT